ATCTTCCCATCCGGGACCCCAGAGAGAGATTAATAATACCAATTATAAAAAGCAGACGATATCAGGACACAGCATGAATTCATAAGTTGTCTTGAAGAAAGTTCATGGGTAGAGAGCGAGTCCTTGAAGAGAGTGAAGTCCAGGAATGTAGCAGAATTCAAAAAGCCAGACAAAGGGAGTCTATGGAGTTCCACTGGGTCAAGACGCAAAGCCCTGCAGCACTGGGATGGAAGCCGGTCCCATGGTCCTTGGAAAACTACAGCTCTCTCTCTCTCGAGAGAGAGAGAGAGAGAGAGAGGCAGAGACCCCAAGGTCTAGCCATTCCCAAAGTTTCATGGGGTCCTCATTGTTGTTAAGGCCTTGACAAATTGACCAAGACTTAACCCTATTGTGCAGTCTGGTACCTTTGTCCTTTGCAGAACTATAAGTCACTATCCCTTGTTGGGGGGGGGCATGTTCGACTTCAATGGAACTGTTCAGTTTGTTTGCCTTGTGAGTAAGCCCAAGCCTGCTAGAGTCAGTGGGCCAAAGCTATTGTCATCCTGAGGAGAATGAGTAGGTTGAAGCCTGCTAAGTCACTGGGCCAAAGCTAGTGTTGTCTTGAGGAGGGTGGGTAGGCCCAAGCCTGCTAGAGTCAGTTCGCCAAAGCTAATCCTGAGGAGAATGAGTAGGCCGAAACCTGTTAAGAGTCAGTGGCCCAAAGCTAGTTTCATCCTGAGGAGAGTGAGTAGGCCAAAGCCTGCTAGAGTTACTGGGCCAAAACTAGTATTATCCTAAGGAGAGTGAGTAGGCCGAAGCCTGCTAGAGTCAGTCGGCCAAAGCTAGTGTCGTCCTGAGGAGAGTGAGTAAGCCGAAGCCTGCTAGCGGGGCCAAAGTTAGTGTTGTCATGAGGAGAGTGAGTAGGCCCAAGCCTGCTAGAGTCAGTGGGCCAATGCTAGTGTCGTCCTGAGGAGAGTGAGTAGGCCCAAGCCTGCTAGAGTCAGTGGGCCAAAGCTAATGTCGTCCTGAAGAGAGTTAGTAGGCCCAAGCCTGCTAGAGTCAGTGGGCCAAAGTTAGTATCGTCCTGAGGAGAGTAGGCCGAAGCTAGAGTCAGTGGGCCAAAGCTAGTGTCGTCCTGAGGAGAGTGAGTAGGCCGAAACCTGTTAGAGTTAGTGGGTCAAAGCTAGTGTCCTGAGGGGGTGAGTAGGCCAAAGCCTGCTAGAGTCAGTGGGCCAAAGCTAGTGTCGTCCTGAGAAGAGTGAGTAGGCCGAAACCTGTTAGAGTTAGTGGGTCAAAGCTAGTGTCCTGAGGAGAGTGAGTAGGCCAAGGCCAGCTAGAGTCAGTGGGCCAAAGCTAGTGTTGTCCTGAGGAGAGTGAGTAGGCCCAAGCCTGCTAGAGTCAGTGGGCCAATGCTAGTGTCGTCCTGAGGAGAGTGAGTAGGCCCAAGCCTGTTAGAGTTAGTGGGCCAAAGCTAATGTCGTCCTGAGGAGAGTGAGTAGGCCCAAGCCTGTAGAGTCAGTGGGCCAAAGCTAGTGTCGTCCTGAGGAGAGTGAGTAGACCAAAGCCTGGTAGAGTCAGTGGGCCAAAGCTAGTGTCGTCCTGAGGAGAGTGAGTAGGCCGAAGCCTGTTAGAGTCAGTGGGCCAAAGCTAGTGTCATCCTGAGGAGAGTGAGTAGGCCGAAGCCTGCTAGAGTCAGTGGGCCAAAGCTAGTGTCATCCTGAGGAGAGTGAGTAGGCCGAAGCCTGTTAGAGTCAGTGGGCCAAAAGCTAGTGTCATCCTGAGGAGAGTGAGTAGGCCGAAGCCTGTTAGAGTCAGTGGGCAAAGCTAGTGTCATCCTGAGGAGAGTGAGTAGGCCGAAGCCTGTTAGAGTCAGTGGGCCAAAGCTAGTGTCATCCTAAGGAGAGTGAGTAGGCCGAAGGCTGCTAGTCACTGGGCCAAAGCTAGTGTCATCCTGAGGAGAGTGAGTAGGCCGAAGGCTGCTAGTCACTGGGCCAAAGCTAGTGTCATCCTGAGGAGAGTGAGTAGGCCGAAGGCTGCTAGTCAGTGGGCCAAAGCTAGTGTCATCCTGAAGAGAGTGAGTAGGCCGAAGGCTGCTAGTCAGTGGGCCAAAGCTAGTGTCCTGAGGAGAGTTAGTAGGCCAAAGCATGTTAGAGTCAGTGGGCCAAAGCTAGTGTCGTCCTGAGGAGAGTGATTAGGCCGAAGGCAGTTAGAGTTAGTGGGTCAAAGCTAGTGTCATCCTGAGGAGAGTGAGTAGGCCGAAGACTGCTAGTCAGTGGGCCAACGCTAGTGTCGTCCTGAGGAGAGTGAGTAGGCTGAAACCTGTTAGAGTTAGTGGGTCAAAGCTAGTGTCCTGAGGGGGTGAGTAGGCCAAAGCCTGCTAGAGTCAGTGGGCCAAAGCTAGTGTCGTCCTGAGAAGAGTGAGTAGGCCGAAACCTGTTAGAGTCAGTGGGCCAAAGCTAGTGTCATCCTGAGGAGAGTGAGGAGGCCGAAGAGAGAGAGAGTGGAGCATGCTTTGCTGGCAGGCCTTTGGATGCTGCCCTCAGGCCTGCACTAGCCTTGACCTGTCTCTTGGTTACAAACCCCCAAAGGACCTGGTGTAGTGTGTGTGTGTGTGCATATGCGTATTGTTAGAAATATTAAATATTAACTAGATATTTTTAATTACAAAAATGTGATTTTTTTGTGGGCAAGCAGATGATGACTATTGGATAGCATATGTTTTGTATCAGAAACCAGAGCTGATGTGGTCTATCTAATGCAATTTTCAGCACCCCAAATAACCAAACCAAATCTAACGTTGCCAAAAAAATAATTTGTAACCCTTTTTGGTACTAATGTTAGGGAGTGGTCCCAGTTCAAGTGGTCCCTGGGCCTTTAGCCCAGCTTCTGCCTACCTAGCAGTTCAAAAGCAAAATGTGAGTAGATACATAGGTACCACTTAAACGGGGAGGTATTTAAGGCACTCATAAGGAAATGCCAGAAAAATGAGTTTTGATCAAGGAGGAAGGTTACGAACAAAGCTCTTTGGTAGGGAAAGTGGAGCGATCACGTCGCCCTCACCCCCCACCCCGTGGCTGGAACCGAGCACAGCCTCCAAGATGTTGAAGATGGGAAAAACCTATATATTCCTTTATCTATGTACAATGGTCTGTCTTGTCAGTGTTTAATGGCATTGACTGTTTCCCATATATGTGTTCTGTGATCCGCTCTGAGTCCACTTCAGGGTTTTTTAATTTATTTATCGTGTCAGGAGCAGATCAAACAGTTGTATTGCATTTTTTAACAAACAAACAAAACAAAGCACAAAGTTTGCAAGCTTGGTAGTTAATTAGATGTTCTTTGACCAGTCTCTGGCCACTTGGAGTGCCTCTGGTGTTGCCGCAAGAAGGTCCTCCATTGTGCATGTAGCAGGGCTCAGGTTGCATTGCAGCAGGTGGTCAGTGGTTTGCTCTTCTCCACACACGCATGTCATGGATTCCACTTTGTGGCCCCATTTCTTAAGGTTGGCTCTGCATCTCGTGGTGCCAGAGCACAGTCTGTTCAGCGCCTTCCAAGTCGCCCAGTCTTCTGTGTGCCCAGGGGGGAATCTCTCATTTGGTTTCAGCCATTGGTTGAGCTTCTGGGTTTCAGCCTGCCACTTTTGGACTCTTGCTTGCTGATGTGTTCCAGCGAGTGTCTCTGTAGATCTTAAAAAACAATTTCTTGATTTAAGTCGTTGATGTACTAGCTGATACCCAAACAGGGGATGGGCTGGAGAGGTCATTGCCTTGATCCTTTCACTATTGGTTGCTACTTCCCGGCGGATGTCCGGAGGTGCAATACCGGCTAAACAGTGTAGTTTCTCCAGTGGTGTAGGGCGCAGACACCCCGTTATTTGTATTGTCGAAGGCTTTCATGGCTGGAATCACTAAGTTCTTGTGGGTTTTTTCGGGCTATATGGCCATGTTCTAGAGGCATTTCTCCTGACGTTTCGCCTGCATCTATGGCAAGCATCCTCAGAGGTGAGGTCTGTTGGAACTGGGAAAAAGGGGTTTATATATCCGTGGAATGACCAGCGTGAGACAAAGGACTTTTGTCAGTTGGGCTGAGTGTGAATGTTTCAACTGACCACCTTGATTAGCATACAATAGGCTGACTGTGCCTGGAGTACACTCTTCTTGAAAGGTAATTAGATGTCCCTGCCTGTTTCCTCTCTGCTGTTTTTGCTGTTGCAATTTTAGAATTGCAAATTTAGAAATAACCCCGTTATTTATTTCTCGAGTCAGGGCAGCCAGTCAGTTATATTACATTTCTAACAGAACAAAGCAAACAAACAGAGAAAATACAAAATATGTGAGTTTGGTAGTTGATTAAATGTCCTTTGACCAGTATCTGGCCACTTGGAGTGCTTCTGGTGTTGCTGCAAGAAGGTCCTCCATTGTGCATGTGGCAGGGCTCAGGTTGCATTGCAGCAGGTGGTCTGTAGACACCCCGTGATAATGCGGCATGTCTCATTAAGAGCCACATCTACTGTTTTAGTGTGTTCCCCTCTGGGCATGCGTACTCAGCAGCAGAGTAGCATAGCGCAAGGGCAGATGTCTTCACTGTGTCTGGTTGTGATCCCCAGGTTGTACCAGTCAGTTTGGGGTGAGAATGGCAGAATATAAATACTGCACATAAATAAACAAACCATGGGGACTCATATCATTTAGAAAGGACTCCCATGTTTCTCTACATTAGCATTGCTTGATTTGAATTTTGAGCTTGCATGCTGTTAACCCAATCAGTTGAGAAAGCGGATGCTCGGAAATGACCTCAATCTCTGTGTGTCTATGTTGCAAAGGGTGCTGTGTCGTTCTTAAACAGTCAGAGCTGGAGGAGATTTACAAAAGGGAACTTTTTTTCCCTTTCCCCCAAAGTGCTGTGTCAGAATTTGGCAACCCGGCTTGCAACCTCCATTTGTTCAATCCCGAGTCCAGGGTTAAATCATCATTTCCCATGTTAGCCCCTCCTCCTTCCTTACAAGACTGAGAACAAGAGAAGGGGGAAACCCATACGTTTGTTGCCCATCACACAACTCTTCGCTTGCGTCTTTGTGCATAAAAAAAAATCATCCCTCCGTCCAGCCAATCAAGAGGAGCCAAAAAAGAGCTATTAAAAGGAGCAGTGCTGGAGAGAGACACAGATCCATAGGCAGCCTTTGCTCGTAAAATTCCGAAAAAGTCCCAACGGATTACTAAACAAAGATTAAACCACTGGAATCGCATTCATTTCTGCCTGGGCTTTCCCCCACTTTGTTCTCAGCCCTTCAAATATACAGATAGATAGCTTTCTGTGTCTTGAAACTGGACAAAAAGCGTGGAAAGAGCAGTGATAAAGGCGCAACTTCATCCTTTTACACTGAGATTCAGAAGACAGCTTTTCCTTCCGAGTGTGCGGAAAAGAAGACTTTTGGAAGGAAAGGACTTGGCAAGAAGAGGAGAAGGAAAATAAACCCAGCCATTCAATTCTGGAAAGAGGATTTGGATTGTTCCTTTCTAAGAAACAGTAAAGCAAACCATCAGCTTCAATCTCAAGCATCAATCTGACGGGAGGCTCTACTTTTCTGTGGCTCTAAATCCCGAATTTTGAGCTGTCCGCTATCTGAATTCGTCCTTTGCATCCTTTCTTTCGACACTGAACGTCAAGTGTTTATTTCCCCCTCCTTAAAATTAACTTCCTCCTCTAAAACCATTACACGTCTGTTGTCGGATCCCTTTTTTCCCCAACTTCGAATTTGATTTGTATGCCACTGGTCCTCAATGTTTCTTCTCTTGCTTGCCACCTGTTGTAATCTGGTTGCGGCCGTGGACGACCGGCCTCGTTTTGGCAGCTATCAAGAGGAAATCGTGTTTCCGGAAAGGACGAATGCCTCTAGCAATCCGGGCAAAGGTGGCATCTTTGACAATAGCCTCGACGGCAACAGCAACAGCATGCTCCCCAAGGAACGGCTCTCCTATCACTTCCGAGCGTTTGGCAAAGATTTTGTGCTCGATTTAGAGAAAGACGGCAGCTTTGTCACAGAAGGCTTGATGGTGCAATATTTGGGCAAGTCGAGGGAAGGAGTCAACGGCCTGCTTGAGCAAGGAACCTACTTCACCGGGACGGTGAATTCGGACTCTGAATCGATCGCCGCCATTCATTACAATGGGGCCTCTCTGCTGGGGGTGCTGCAGTATCAGGGTGCCGAGTACCATGTGCAGCCCTCCAACACGAAAGGAGAAACCGGGGCCCACGTGGTGAGAAGGAAAGTCCTGGAGAAAAGCGACGGACCCATGTGCGGAGTGGGATCCCCGATGCACGACAACATGCCAACCCTAAGAGACGGGCACTTCCTTAACACAAAAGAGTCCCCGAGGAGAGCAAAGGTAAGAGGATCTGTGTCCTCATTTTGAGATGGGTGATCTGTTCGGCTCAAATCCTCACCAGTAATGAATGAATTTGGGCCCCCAGTGGTGCAGCGGGTTAAACCGCTGAGCTGCTGAACTTGTTGATCAAAAAGTTGGTGGTTTGAATCCAGGGAGTGGGATGAGCTCCAGCTTGTGCCAACCTAACAGTTCAAAAACATGCAAAATGTGAGTAGATCAATGTTGGGGCATGCCTGATGTCCTTGGGAAGTGAATTCCAGAGTCGGGGGGCCACCACCGAGAAGGCCCTCTCCCTCGTCCCCACCAATCGCGCCTGCGAAGGAGGCGGGAGCGCGAGCAGGGCCTCTCCAGATGATCAAAGAGATCATGTGGGTTCGTACACAAAAATGCGGTCACGCAGGTAGGTGGGTCCCAAACCGTTCAGGGCTTTGTAGGTAAGAACCTGCACCTTGAATTGGGACCGGAAAATGAACGGCAGCCAATGGAGCTCCTTAAACAGGAGGGTTGACCGCTCCCTGTAAGTCACACCAGTTAGTAAACTGGCTGCCGCCCAATTAAAATTTCCGGGCTGTTTTCAAGGGCAGCCCCACATGGAGTGCATTACAGTAATCCAATCTGGAGGTGACTAAAGCATGGACCACTTTGGCCAGATCTCTCGTTCCTACCAACTGCACTTGAGGCGGGGGTGGGACCAAGAGCAGGGCCTCCTCAGCAGATTGCAGCGCCTGTGTTGGTTTGTATACAGAGACGCAGTCTTTCAAATAGTCTGGGCCCGAAACGTTTAGGGATTTATAGGTAACTAGCTGTCCCCTGCCACGCGTTGCTGTGGCCCACATGGGGGTTCTGTGTGGGAGGTTTGGCCCAATTCTATCGTTGGTGGGGTTCAGAATGCTCTGTGATTGTAGGTGAACTATAAATCCCAGCAACTACAACTCCAGAATGTCAATATTCTATTCCCCCCAAACTCCACCTGTATTCGTTTTTGAGTATTCGTGTAGAGTTTGGTCCAGATCCATCATTGTTTGAGTCCACAGTGATTTCTGGATGTAGGTGAACTACAACTCCAAAACCAAAGGACACTGCCCACCAAACCCTTCCAGTATTTTCTGTTGGTCATGGGAGAACTGTGTGCCAAGTTTGGTTCAATCCCATCGTTGTTGTTGGGGTTCAGAATGCTCTTAGTAGGTGAACTATAAATCCCAGCAACTACAACTCCCAAATGATGAAATCAATGTTTTTGAGTGAAGGACATCCATTGGACTGTTAGGTGTCTTGTGTCCAAATTTGGTGTCAAGTCCCCCAGTGGTTTTTGAGTTCTGTTAATCCCACAAACGAATATTACATTTTTATTTATATAGATGACCAGCACTTTGTATTTGGCCCAGAAGCAGGAGCTGCCATAACATAGGAGTTGTCTGCTCTCTGTACTGGATCGGCACTCCGTTAGTAATCTGGCTGCCAATTGCTGAGCTAGTTGCAGCTTCCAAACCGTCTTCAAAGGCAGTCCCATGTAGAGTGCATTGCAGTAGTCCAAACGGGATGTAACCAATGTGTGGCGCATAAGTTTTAGTTGTGCGAAGGCGCCCCTGGCCACCACCGACACTTGGGGTTCCAGCTATGAGTCCAGGATCACCCCCAGACTGCAAACGTGTGTCATCAGGGGGAGTGCAATCCCATCTAACACAGGTTGTAACCCCACACCCTGGTCCACCTTCTGACTTACCAGGAGTACTTCTGGTCAGTCAGAAGTACTCCAGTGTGGATTTACCTTCAACTTATGAGCTCTCATCCAGTCCATGTTCTGGTTGCATGTTGGCCTCGATCCCAAACTTTGGATGGAAAGAACCTCTTCCGATTTTGGAATCATAGAGTTGGAAGAGACTGCATGGGCCATCTAGTCAATACAGTGGTTCTCAACCTTCCGAATGCTGCGACCCCTTAATACAGTTCCTCTTGTTGTGGTGACCCCCAACCATAATATTATTTGAATTGGTAATTCATAACTGTAATTCTGCTATCGTTATGAATCGTAATGTAAATATCAGATATTTAGGATGTATTTTCATTCATTGAACCAAATTTGGCACAAATGCCCAATACACCCAAATGGGGTTGAGGGGGATTGTTTTTGTCATTTGGGAGTTGTAGTTGCTGGGATTTATAGTTCACCCAGAATCAAAGAGCATTCTCAACTCCACCAATGATGGAACTGAACCAAACTTAACACACAGAATTCCCATGACCAACAGAAAATACTGGAAAGGTTTGGTGGGCATGGACTTTGAATTTTGGACTTGTAGTTCACCTATATCTAGAGAGCACTGTGGACTCAAACAATGTTGGATATGGGCCAAACCTGGCACGAATACTCAACATGCCCAAATGCGAACACTGGTGGAGTTTGGGGAAAATAGACCTTGACATTTGGGAGTTGTCGTTGCTGGGATTTATAGTTCACCTACAATCAAAGAGCATTCTCAACACCACCAATGATGGAATTGAAACAAACTTGACACACAGAATTCCTATGACCAACAGAAAATACTGGAAGGGTTTCGTGGGCATGGACCTTGAATTTTGGAGTTGTAGTTCACCTACATCCAGAGAGCACTGTGGACTCAAACAATGATGGATATGGGCCAAACCTGGCACAAATACTCAACATGCCCAAATGCGAACACTGGTGGAGTTTGGGTAAAATAGACCTTGACATTTGGGACTTGTAGTTGCTGGGATTTATAGTTCACCAACAATCAAAGAGCAATCTGAACCCCACCAACGATAGAATTGGGCCAAACTTCCCACACAGAATCCCCATGACCAACAGAAAACACTGTTTTCTTTTATGGTCTTTGGCAAACCCTTTGACACCACCTTGCGACCCCCACAGGGGTCGCGACCCCCAGGTTGAGAACCACTGATCTAGTCCAACCCCTTGCCATGTAGGAAGAGAGCAAACAAAGCACCCCTGGCAGATAGCCATCCAGCCTCTGCTTAAAAGCCTCCAAGGAAGGAGTTTCCACGAGACTTTGAGGCAGAGAGTTCCAAGGCTGAACAGTTCTTACAGTCAGGTTCTTCCTAATGTTCAGGTGGAATCTCCTTTCCTGTAATTTGAACCCATTGCTAGTCTCCAGGGCAGCAGAACACAAGCCTGCTCCCTCTTTGGTATGACATCCTCTCAAATATTTATACATGGCGATCATGTCTCCTCTCAACTGTCTCTCCTGCAGGCTAAACTTCCCCAGCACTTTAAAAAGGTAAAGCTTTCCCCTGACATTAAGTCTAATCGTGTGACTCTGGGGTGGTGGTGCTCATCTCCATTTCTAGGCGTTGTCCATAGACACCTCCAAGGTCATGTGGCCAGCATGACTGCATGGAGTGCCATTACCTTCCCGCAGAAGCAGTACCTATTGATCTACTCACATTTGCATGTTTTCGAACTGCTAGGTTGGCAGAAGCTGAGGCTAACAGCAGGAGCTCACCCACACTCCCCGGGTTTGAACCACTAACCATTCAGTCAGCTTGTTCAGGAGCTCAGCGGTTTAACCCACTGCGCCACCAGGGGGCCCCAGCTCATTGAGATGCTCCAAATTTTAGTTTTCTCTTCTCTCTTGGAAGGTCCTCCAGTTGTCCTCATCTACCCTCCAGGGGTGAATGGAGGTCTGGACTAGATGTTTCTCTTCTTCCCTCTTGGAGCCAGAAACAATGTCAAATCCAGATTTTTAGAATCACAGTGTTGGAAGAAACCTCAAGGGCCATCCAGTCCAACCCCATTCTGCCGTTGCAGGGAGACAATCCAAGCCCCCCCCCCCCCCCCGACAGATGGCCATCCAACCTCTTAATCAGAATCCTAGAGTTGGAAGAGACCCCAAGGGCCATCCAGTCCAACCCCATTCTGCTATTGCAGGGAGACACCATCCAAGCCCTCCTGACAGAAGGCCATCCAACCTCTTAATCATTGAATGCTAATGTTGAAAGAGACGCCAAGGGCCATCCAGTCCAACCCCATTCCGCTATTGCAGGGAGACACTATCCAAGCCCTCCTGACAGATTGCCATCCAACCTCTTAATCAGAATCCTAGAGTTGGAAGAGACCCCAAGGGCCATCCAGTCCAACCCCATTCAGCTACTGTAGGGAGACACCATCCAAGCCCTCCTGACAGATGGCCATCCAGCGTCTGAATCATAGAATGCTAAAGTTGGAAGAGTCCCCAAGGGCCATCTAGTCCTTTCTGCTATTGCAGGGAGACACAATCCAAGCCCTCCTGACTGATAGCCATCCAACCTCTTAATCAGAATCCTAGAGTTGGAAGAGACCCCAAGGGCCATCCAGTCCAACCCCATTCTGCTATTGCAGGGAGACATCATCCAAGCCCTCCTGACAGATGGCCATCCAGCCTTTGAATCATAGAATCCTACAGTTGGAAGAGACCCCAAGGGCCATCCAGTCCAACCCCATTCCGCTATTGCAGGCAGACACCATCCAAGCCCTCCTGACAGATAGCCATCCAACCTCTTAATCAGAATCCTAGTGTTGGAAGAGACCCCAAGGGCCATCCAGTCCAACCCCATTCTGCTATTGCAGGGAGACACAATCCAAGCCCTCCTGACAGATAGCCATCCAACCTCTTAATCAGAATCCTAGAGTTGGAAGAGACCCCAAGGGCCATCCAGTCCAACCCCATTCTGCTATTGCAGGGAGACACCATCCAAGCCCTCCTGACAGATGGCCATCCACCCTTTGAAACATAGAATCCTAGAGTTGGAAGAGACCCCAAGGGACATCCAGTCCAACTGCCATGCAGGAAAATACCACCAAAGCCCTCCCGACAGATAGCCCTCCAACCTCTGCTTCAAAACCTCTAGTGAAGGAGATGCCAACGTGCTTCAAGGCAGTCAATTCTATTGCTGAACTGCTCTTACCGTCAGGAAAAGCTATTTAAGTGGAATCGATTTTTTTCTGAAATTTGAGCCCATTGCTCCATTGTGTCCTAGTCTCC